CAAGATGCATCCATTTAGCAAGAAATATGTCACACTCATCCTTCTTTGTGGCAGAGTAGTACTCTACGAAAAAAACACATCTTTATCCATTCATCCATTGATGCACATTTGGGCTGTTTCCAAGAATTAGCTACTACAACCATGTCTCTATAAGCATAGATTATAAATATATATCACTGTGGTATAATGCTTTTAATTCTTTCAGGAAGATACCAAGAAGGGGACTAGCTGGATTAAATGGAACCTCTAGTTTTATTTTTTTGAAGAATCTCCACACTGATTTCCACAGTGGTTGCACCAGTCCATACTCCCACCAACAGTGGAGAAGGGTTCCTTTTCCCCACCACCCTAGTAGCATCTGTTATTAGTTGATTTCTTAATAACAGCTATTCTTTCTGGAATGAGATGGAATCTCAGCATTGTTTTAATTTGCATCTCTGGGATGACCAATGATATAGAACACTTCTTCAAATATTTATTTGCCATTTCCACTTCTTCATCTCAGAAGTATCTATTCATTTCAGATGCCTATTTTGGGACTGGGTCTTTAAATTGGGGGAGTCTGATTTTTCCACTTCTTTATATAGTCCAGTATTTGTCCTTTTTCTAAGAAACAGCTTGCAATTTTTTTCCCACTCTGTGGGCTGTCTCTTCACTCCATTGGTGGTTTGTTTTGCTGTGCAAACAAAAACTCTGTAATATACTAAACTCCAAGTTATTGATTCTTTGTGATATTTCCTGTGTGATCAGGGTTTTGTTCATAAAGTTTTTACCTACACCAATGTCTTCAACAGTTCTACTTATTCTCTCTTCCAGCAAATTTAAATCTAGATGTAGATTTAGATCACTAATACCCACTTTGAGATTCTAATAAGGTGGAAAATAGAAGAAATCAAAACATTCCTAGAAACATATATATGAGTTACCAAAGCTGAATCAAAAAGATATAAAAACTCTAAATAAAGTAATATCAGTCAAAGAAATTGAAGATTTAATTAAAAACCTACCAAGAAAAGCCCAGCCCCTGACGGATGCACATCTGAATTCTACAAGGAATTTAGAGAAGGCCTAATGCTGCAACTTTTTAAACTTTTTGGTTACCAGGGCTCAAACTCATGACCTTGTACTTGGTGGGGCAGGCAGCAGAACCACTGAGCTAAATCCCCAGCTTTTCAAGCTTTTTAATGAAATTGAAAGGAAAGCAGTAATCCCAATTTCATTGCTAAAAGCTATCGTTAATGAATACCAAAATCAGAGAAGGATTCAAACAAAGAGAACTGCAGTCCAATATCCCTAATGAACATAGACACAAATCCTCCATAACACAGTGCCAAACAGAATGTAGCAAATAATATGGACAGGATGACCCAGCAGAATTCATCCCAGGGATGCAGGGATGGTTCAACATATGCAAATCAATAAATATGAAACACCATTTTAACAGAGCCAACAACAAAAACCGTATGATCATCTCAATACATGCAGAAAAAGTGTTCAACAAAGTCCAAAACCTATTCATGATAAAAAAAAATCCCTATAGAAAACTGGAATAGTCTTTATCTCAATCTAATAAAACCCATATAGGACAAATCAAGAGCCAAAATTATACTAAGTGAACAAAAACTAAAGCTTTCACACTAAAATCAAGAACAAGACCAGGATGTCCACTGCCACCACTATTTAATATAGTGAAACATTAGACAAAAGAAAGAAATAAAAGGTATAAGGATAGGAAAGGAAGAAGTTAAATTATCATTATTTGCAGATAACATGATATTGTACATAGAAGGCCCCAAAAACTTCACCAAAAGACTACAATATTTAATAACCAAATTCAGTAGCATAGCTGGATACAAAGTCAACAGTTTAAAAAATCAACAGCATTCTTATACACAAATAACAAATTCACCAAGAGAGAAATTAAAAGAACACCTTTCACAATAGTATAAAAAGTTAAATTCCTAGAAATCAATCTAACAAAGGAAGTAAAAGAACTTTACATGGAAAACTATAATACTGTGAAAAAGGAGATCAAAGAGAACATTGGAAAATGAAAGACATTCTTTATTCTTGGATAGGAAAAACCAACATAATAAAAATGGCCATGCTTTCAAAATTGTTACACAGATGCAATGCAATCTTGAGCAAAATAACAATAGCATAACTCAAAGAATTAGAGAATACATTCCAAAAATTAATTTGGAACCAGAAGAGACCTAGAGCAGTAAAAGCAATTCTGGGCAGCAAAGGCAAGGCAGGAGGCATCACAATCCCTGAACTGAAATTATACTACCAAGCTACTGTGATAAAAACAGTATGGTACTGGGGGAAAAAAAAAGACCCAAGGATCAATGAAACAGACTGAAGATGCAGAAACAACACCAAGTGTACTCAGCCACCTCATCTTGGACCAAGAAGCCAAACATCCCCAGAAGAAAGATAACCTCTTTAATAAATGGTACTAGAAAAACTGGCTTTCCACATGCTAAAGATTAAAACCCAAATCTTTAACCATGCATTAAACTAAAACTGAAATTGTTATTGTTTATTGGTACTTGATATACACAAGGATCACATTTATCATAGGAATGATATATCTTAATTCTTCTTTTTCTCCCATTCCCCTCCCTTCCCTTTAATCCCTCTTACCCTCCCTATTTACAAAACCTTTGTTTACATTTTTCCTTCTTTTCTACTTCTTTTATTCTTTTCCCTTCCTTTCTTCCCATTGTTCCTCCCACGTTCCCCTTCCCATTTGAGCCTTTTCTTCATATTTTATAATATCTAGTATACATTGGTCCTTATTTACATTTTTGGTTTCATACATCAGAGAAACACTGCAATTTTTACATGTGTGTGTTTGATTTATTTCACTTAAGAGTGTGGCCTCAAGGTCCATCCACGGACCTATATGTCAAATTTATCCTTCTTTATGGCTGATTAGGTAAACCATTGTGTAAAAAAAAAATCTTTTGTTCATAAAGTCTTTGCCTACACCTATGTCTTGAAGAGTTCTACCTCTTCTCTCTTCCAGCAGATTTAATGCTTCTGTTTTGATACTTAGATCTTTGACCATTTTTATTTTAGTTTAGTGCACAGTGAGAGACATGGGTCTACTTTTAGTCTTCGGCATGTGGAAAGCCATTTTTTCCAGCACCATTTATTAAAGATGCGAAATTTTCCAGTGAAGCTATTTGGCCTCTTTGTGGAAGATAAGGTGCCTGAGTGTATTGGAAGCTGTTTTGGCATCTTCTAATTTATTCCTCTGACCCTCGGGTTGTTGTTGTTTTTAAGGCCAAGTTTCATTCAAGGACATACTGGCCATTAATATACTGCCATTTGCTACATGACGAGATAAGAATCCATTGCAAGTGCTATAGATCAAAGCTCAGCAAACTGCAGTCTGACAGTCAAATTCAGCCTGCCATCTGTCTTTCTAAATAAAGTTTTATTGAAACACAGCCATTCTCACTTACTGATATACTGTCTGTGACTGGTCTCCTGCTATCCTGGCAGTGTTAGACTGATGCAGCAGAGATTCTATGGCCTTCACATCCTAAAATTCTTACTATCTATCTCACTCTTTTCCAAAAAACTTGCCAATTTCTGATTTATGTTCTTGTTTGAAAAATCAATCTTAAACTTTTCTTTAAGGGCCTGGGTATTTCCAGTAAGGAAAAAAAACATAGTGTATATCTGTCCCTATGCCAGGAAGGTAATCCCAGAACTAAGAGCAGAACTAGGTTAGGGTTAAGAACACAGATTCAAATCCCAGCTCTGCCTCTGACAAGTTGGGCTGATTACTTAACTCCCTGGGCCTCAGTTTCTTCATCTTTAAAATACGGGTCATAATAATACCTACTTCAAAGACTTGTTGTGAGAACTGAATGCTACCACAGCACATGACCTGGTACACAGTGGAAACCCAGTTCGGCTCATAGTCTCCTTGCCCATTTCAGATACAAAACAAACCAGCACAATCTCCATGTTGTCTCCATTTCTCTTGTGGCTCTCAGATTCTGTGCTTCCCCACGGAGACGAGACTGATGGTTAAGTCCTACATCAGATCCCACTTGAACTTGAATCTATGCAGTGTAGGGAAAGACATGAGATGTGCAGCCTCATTTCCTCCTTTTGTGAAATGGGAAGACTACCCAAGACCTCCAATCTCAGCTGAGCATTTTACAGGTCTCCAGGAGCAGCCCTAAGTAAGATCCATTTAGCCACTGCTACTACAGAAGGAAGGGAGTAGGCAACACATAGTCTCAAAGCTGAATCAGTCATAAGTTACACAGAAATTAGCTCTCATCATCAGCAAGGCACTTTGTGAACTGGAAAGAAGTATAAATCTGTCCACAATGAGAAGGTAAGTTAATTAGGAGAGGAGTAAGTTAATAAAGCAGGTAGTGTCTTTTCAGGGGCTGGCACACCCTTTCTCCACCTGTCCTCTCTTTACACCAGAACTCCCATTCCCTTCTATACCTACCTTTCTTCCAGTCCCTTGGAAAAGGGGCCCCAGGAAAAGATAAGAGACAGATGTGCAGTGATTGGCTACATAGCCCTGAGGGAGAGGAATCAAGACCATCCGTGCAGTCCTGACCAGGGGGACCCAAGGGCACAGTGAGGACTCTAGTTCCTACCCAGAAGATACAGGGACCACAGACAGTCCCAGGACAGGAAAATGAGACGAGAGTGGTAGGGACCACAAAACAAACCAGGGCAGAGCACAGAAGTAACTGCAGGAGACAAAACCGCACCCTGGCAGCTCCCACGTCGTGGCCGGAAAATGAGTCACCAGGGTCCCTCCTGGGCTGTGAGGTTCTGGAATGGGTTTAGCCCCAAACAATTTTGCCTTGAAGAAGAATTTGCTTTCTCAAAGATTGCTCATTTGCTTCTATTTTTAACAGCAGAGATAAGGAAAACTTCTAAGCTATTAAAGCTGTATCCATGGCATTTTTGATTTCATCACTTCCCACCCTTCCCTCTGATGTCTTACTTACCAAGGAGAGAGAGGGAGGAGACCGTGTGCCTTTGGTCATGAATCAAACTCAACTCCACAGTCACATGGGTTCTCCAGACTGGTCCTCACACACCAATGCCTGAAAAAGAAAAAGAGAGAGAGGTCTATTAAGTTGTTTTAAAAGACAGTGTGTCCTTTGGATATCAATTCTAGAAAGTTCCATCCATGTTGTGCCTTAGTAATGCAGGACTTGCAGCTGAGTGACACAGGGCAAGTTGATGATCTGTGAGAGTCCTAAATTATTCTCTCTCTCTCTCTCTCTCTCTCTCTCTCTCTCTCTCTCTCTCTGTCTCTCTCTCTCTCTCACACACACACACACCATCCTAAAGGATCACTATTTCAAACCCAGTGTAATTACATTAAGTGGCTTAAAAATAAAAATATACTCATTTTATGACAGCTCCTTCATTCTACTTCTTCAGCCTATCTCGTGCCTAAAGTAACGTATGTCATAAAAGAAATAAAGGCAGTAGGTATAGGGTGATAAACTATACCTCAACTTGAGATTTTATTTTTTACTTACATATAATTTGTTGCACAGTTGTGAACATAGGGAAAAATGATCCTATATCCTAAAAATAATTTGTTTCACCAAAATGAATTCAACTCAGTTCCATTTAATATATAAAAATCTGGAAAACTTGATATTAAAAGAGGATGAAAAGAATAAGCTGAGACCCCAGCCTGCCTAGAAAAATACGTGCCAATGCTTGAAGAAATGAGGAACACCCCACTTACTATCCATACAGGGACCTGTTCCTTATTAGTGGTTATGGTCTAAATATCGTGCCCCCCAAAGACTCATGTATTGCGTGTTTGTTCCCCCATGTAAGGAGGTTCAGAGATGTGGTCCAGAAAGGAAGCCGGATCATGAGGGCTCTCACTCCACTGATGGATTGGCTTACTCACGAGTTCACAGCTGCACGGGCTACGAGGAATGAGACACAGTTGGAGGTGGATCACTGGGACCATTTTTTTGAAAGGGTATCTTGTCTGCAGACCCTCTTCTCTCTCTGTCCTGGCTGCCATGAAGTGTGGGACACCCTTCTACTATCACGTTTGGCCTTGCTTCAGGCCCACATCAATGGAACCAGCCAACCATGGATTGAACCCTCCCAAACCAGGAGCTGAAATAAACCTCTGTTCCTAAAGCTATTCATAGCAGGTACTTTGCCATGGCAAGTGAAAGCTAACACACTTGTGAATCATGTCCATTACTCTAAGTGCTCCCCTTCTGGGTCAGAATCTTCCTGCTCTCTCTATTCGCCTAGCTTCTGCCTTTTGCCTCTTCCCAGTGGCAGCTCTGGGTGCCGTGCATGTGAAGCAAGCTGCTATGGGCCATCCCCATCCACACACCCGGAGAGAAGCTGAGAATGGTGGGGGCAAATTTGGAAAAAGAACTTCCCAGCATGTTCTGGCTACTCAGTGAGCTTCACATGGACACTTAGCAATGATCAAAAGGTCACCAGACTCCAGAAAATAACCTGAATTATAACAGCTGGAAATTTACAAAATTCTCTATCTACTGAAAACCCTTCTGGAATTCCTGGAGTCCAGAGGCGAGAGAGCAATGAAAACATGGCAGTCCTTGGGAAGCAGGGGGCAGTAAATTTGGAAGTGCCCACCACAAAGGCACCCGAGATAGCCAGGTGTGCTCATGCTGTGCAGAATCACCAGCTCTAAGGTCCCAGTGGAGTCTTTGACAACTCCTGACATCACTCTTTGGAAAGCACAAGGTGCAGATGCAAATCCTTGAGGCCAAAAGAGAAATCGAGCTCTCCCCAAGGTAAGGAGGCACACTTAGTCTGGGAAAAATTCCTAACAGCGCCAATTTCTTTTTCATGACTCCAACAATATCTCCTTTGGGTGTGGCAAAGAATATGTGAGTTGGGATTTCTTTATTGAACAACATATTTGTATACATGAGTGTCCTCTCTTGAGACCTAAAATATGTTTTAGAACAAGTATGGCTAAAATTTACTTCTATTGACTTAGATCATAATGAAAATTCAAGTAACAGGGTTGGACGGTATCACTGGATCCTGCCCTGACAATGTCAATAAGCTCAGAATTAAATTAAAAACAGAGTCCATGGGTCTCCTGTCCCAAGTAAGGTCACTCATGAGCTGAGGGGCCCATCAGCAGACATCGAGGCTGTAACTGTGGAATATGGGATACTCCCTTAATTGGCAAAGGAGACAGGGCTAAGAACATTGCAAGGATTCAGAATCAGTGACACAAACAGGAAGCGAATCCTGCTGAATTCAAGCAGGGACCCTGCAGAGCCTAGACAGTCAGCTAGGCAATCCTGGCTCAACCTTCAGCGTTCAAAACCCTGTCCAGTCCTTGGAAAAGCTCTTAAGTGACACAGCTCAGAGGCTTGGAGAAACCAGGACAGCTTCAGAACTTGAAGTGTAGAGTCCCAGCAGCAGGATTCAGGGGCACACTCCCTACAGAGTTCTCACTGCACCTGTGTTTACATCAACAGTGGGAAATATATTTAACCAGCTTGGTGCATGAGGGCCATGCAGAGAGCATCAGATTTTCTGCTCCTGAGGCTCAGGGAAATGAGCCCTGTGCTGGGTGAATGAGCCCCATTCTACCACATGAGCACCTGTGCCGAGGTGGGCACAGTAACCACAGCAGCATAGCAGAGACCCTGAGTGAACTAAGCTGACGAAACAGAAAATGAGAGCTTCTGTAACAAATACACTTCCCTATTTGGTGCCCCTCCATATTTCCCCTCATTCTTTTCTCTGGCAGCTTAGTATTAAACTTGGTACAAATCACCTCCAAAGTCTCTCTGTCATAATCCTCAACTCATGATCCACTCTGAGAAAATAAATAAATAAACTGTCATTTTGAACATGTATGTGCAGAACTGACATTACAATGCTCTTTGATTTGCAAACAATCAACCTTTCCTAGATGTTTTACCTCTATACTCCCAGTCTTAGGACCTTAGAATTGTCTCCAAATGGAAATGCAGAAGTAAAACCTAAATACCAATTGCCCATCCCATTGGCACAAGGCTTCCTGCTACAGCATATAATCTTCCCCTGCCTGTGCTACACAGAATGGCCTCAGATGTGGACTGGATCGTTCTTGTGGACATCAGAGGTCAGATGAACAGCCGTTATCCTGAATATGACTGAAAGAAATTACATGTCAGGCCAAGAGCTCAACTTAGAGATCACTCAACAGTAAAATTACACAAGAAATACAATGACAACAGACAGGCCTGGTATCATAAAGTACCGTAGAGTGAGAGAAAGAAGCCCACAGATACAATTTCAGAAAACCTATAAACGGCCGGGTCAGGGATTCCCAGCTTCCAAGAATTTTACCAGTGGCCACGGGGTTTAACTGACAGACATCTCATCGCAGGGCCACTGGACAGAAAACTATCATGTACAGTTCTTAAGCTGTGGTCATGCATGTTAGGCTGTGAGAAGATTAAAGCAAAAACTGATCATGCTTCCAGTTACCCCAACAAGATAGTGTTTGGTTATTCTGCTATTTAGTAAAGTAAATACTATGCAACTGGAGCAAAGAGGGGTTACTCCAGGGGACAGTCAGGGAAGCTTCTGAAAACAAAACGACATGTGATGTGGACTTCAAGGACAAGTAGGAGACAGTGGAATATCAAAGGAGGAGGACGTTTGAGTAGGTACATTACAGTCAAGCAAATGCAGACGAGGCAGAAATACCCGGACTGCCATGCTGAGCTGCAAAGTGGAGATCCAGCACTGTCCCCAGGACTGAGTAAACTGACGGAAGCCCTCCATGTGGCCAGCGGGGACAGGAGATCACAAGGACGCAGACTGCACAGGGCAGGTGAAAGGAAGCGGTTCCGCTAGAGTGGAAAATTAGGTCTATGAACAGCACGAGACTCAGAGAGCTGAGCTCCTCCTCCAGTCTGCAGAGGAGAGCAAAGAAGAGGAGAACAGATTCCTGTGGAGAGGCGGAGGAGCCGGAGCGCTGGGCTCAGGGGTGAGGAGCAGCAGAACCAGGGCAAGCAGGAAGTGTGTCTCGGTGTCCACACAAGGCTTCTCCATACAGGCCAAGGGGGCAGAAGCCTCAGAGCATCACTGCGACAGCAGACAGACTCTGGGAAAAGCAGACGACACACAGGGAATGTCATGGGACAGAGAGGTGGGACTTCTCCAAAGAAGAGAGAGCTACTGAGGTTCCTTAGGATATTAGCATGAGAGAGGAGTTTCAGGGGCCCGACATGGAAGCTCTGCAAAGGACAGACAAGTCAACAAGGGAGTCACTGGGGCCAGAAGCCAACAGCAGAGAAGTGTCCCCAGGAGAAGGGATTAACCTGGCACATCCCAGAGGCAAGTCGGTCCTAGCCAGCTCAGGGTGGAGCCTCTGGTCCCTTGAAGCACATCCTGAGGAGAGTTTCTCTGATGGGGGTGACAATCTATGTGACAAAGGTGACTCCTGAACCACACTACATCCACATGGTGGAGTCGGCGTCCCAGGTCAGCCATCAGACATTGCTATCTGGTCAGTTACCAGGCTTCGGCTCCATACCCCAAGGTGCCCCAAGAGCTCCATGTGCTCATCAGTGGGGCTTCTCGAAGACTGGACTAGGGAGCTCACAGCTGACTTGCTGCAGCAGGTGGGGTCTGGCCGAAGTTGTCCCTGGGGGCGTGGCCTGGAAGGGCGTCTCCCTCCCTGGCTCCTCCCTTCACTCTGCTTCCTGGCCGCCACGCTGTGAGCAGCGCTCCTCAGCCAGACCCTCTCACCATGTCTTGCTACCTTGGAGCAATCAGTTAGGAACTAAAATATGTGACTCCAAATAAACTTTTCCTCCTTTCAGTTGCAGCTATCGCAGCACTGTTTCTCTGGTGTGAGAAACGGAATGCAGAAATGAGGACTGAGATGTAGAACGGATGTTGGGAAATGGGAAGAAAGTGTTCAAATGGGAAGGAGACCAAGGGAGGAGGAGGGAGAGAGAAAGGAAGGGTCAAGAAAAAAGTGAAAATAGAAGGAAAAAGTGGAAACAAAGCTTTTGTACATAGGGAGGGCAGAGGGCTTGAGGTGAGGAGGGGATAAAATTTGTTGAAA